GAACCAGTGCTGCATTCAACATACCACTGAAACACAAAAATTGATGTTTATTTTTTTTTTATATTTGCTTTTAAATTAAGAAATTGAGTTTTAAAATTTGAATTATAATCTACAGTTTGATACCAAAGTTATGGACTTAAGTTCATAAAATAGTAGTTCAGTAAACCATCTAATTTGAACCAGTGCTGTATTCAGCATACCACTGACACACAAAAATCGATGTTTATTTTTTTTTTTTGTATTTGCTTTTAAATTAAAAAAATTGAGTAATATATATAGTACTAAAATTTGAATTATAATATACAGTTTTATACCAAAGTTATTGACATAAGTTCATAAAATAGTAGTTCAATAAACTTTTGAATGCGAGTCAACAACCAAAATGACATGGCCTTTCACCCATGATCCATCTTGAAAGGGTTAAATTTGAATTAAACTTGTATGAACTCACATATACATATTTATATATAATGTTATATGCATTTAGTTTTAGATGTAATCTAAAACAGTTTTTTAAAGTTTTACCACAAGAGGAATGAAAGTAACAGCAAATCCAAACCTTTGTTGGAAAGTTTTATAGAGAGTCAGGCTGAGAAAGAAACGTAGCATCAAAGATCAAACAAATAACACCTAGATACAAACTTTAAACTGAGGATAATAAGACATATTTTGCTATAAAGTTATCTGTGAAAGTTGGTTTTAAAAATCAGCAGAGATATACTGTATGTCAGACTTAAAACCTTTATTTAAAAGCTGTACAAAACTAATTCAAACTGTTTATTACCTCAAGCACAATCTAAAGTAGTATTTCTTACAGTGACTTTTTTAATTCATTACTTGGTGTAGAGAGACAAAGGATATTTGAGTTGTTACCTGTGTACATGCTACATCATTATTTATTAATAGTTTCTGTTGCATAAATTACTATTTCAATATTAAGTCCACCACATATTTAAAACTTTTATACATAATTACCTTTCAGAATAAAAATTCATGTGGTCTCTTATAGAAATTTTGCATTGATCTTTGTTCTATGATTTTTTTTTTCTTTTCAATAAACCTAAAGCATGCTATAGATTATTATGTTGAGTTTCACTGTACGTGGTTCATAATTATTTAATTTAACTGAATGTTGTTTTACCATTTTAGGCTACTACTAATTCAAGAAAAAGAACAGCTATTACGAGAATTCAGAAGTCGCATTACAAAAGAAAGAAATCAGAATGAGATAGATTCCATCCAAGCAGAAATTTATAAGTTGGTGGAAGCTGTAGACAATGCCAGAGAAATGTCAAACAAAACCATTGCTGATAGGTTAGAAAACTTTAAGATACTGCAGTTTTTTGTTTTATTTGTATTTGACATTGTAAAAAAAAAATATTATTTGAATAAGCTATATACAATTATCTATTTCAAAGCTGGTCTTCATAGACTAAACTAATAACAACAGAGCTTCATAGAGTTTTTGGAAACACTTTTTTGTTATGAAATGCTTTCCATTGAGATTTTGTACTAGACTTTTAAATATGTACTTTATATTATTAGTTACGTGTGTATCTTTATTTATTTTTCGCTGGGTTAAGCCAGCATATCCCAAAGTGTGGGGTGTGACCCCCAGAGGGGGCATGAATGATTAGGGTAGAGTCATTAGTGCAATAATGTAAAATTAAGCATTTTAATATATTTTTTATTAATTAAAATAGTAAGTAATTACTACAACACATACATCATTGTAATGTGTATCTGTGTATTACACATCGTCAGTTAACTCGCTTTGTTACTCATTTAAAAAAAGAGGGAGCATGCAAGAAATCGTACTTATTAAAGGGGAAAACATGGATGACAAAAGTTTGGGGAATGCTGGGTTAAGCTTTGATTTTCCCTTGATCTAGAAAACAATTACACCAGAGATGCTTGTTTGTTTATTTTACTCTTTGTCATTTTTATGTTTTTCCTAAAGGTTGAGACTTCATGAACAAAAAAACAACCTGTTGCAGCAGCTAAAAGATGCCATGCGTCATACAACACTTTTAGAGTCCAAATTGAAAAGGTAGTCACATACGTTCCTATAGAATATGCAACTACTGATAAGTATATGTGATAGTGTACTTTGAAATAAAACTTATGTTTAGATGTTCAGTATTCTAAACAGATCAAATATGTTATTTCAGCCAGTTTAGATCTTTTGAATTTTATAGTATTTAAATAAACAAATCAGTACCTGAGGTATCTTTAAAGTGTAATTAAAGCATTCTTTGTATTAGGCTTAGAAACTTAACTTTTAATTAAAAGTCCTTTTTTTTTCAGTTATGCTTTGAAAATATAAAATGAACGATTTGGATTGACAAATTTTGATTATAATATTTTTTGTGAGGATTTTTGCTAGACTTGATAATGTAGTGATCATTGTCTTGGTTTTAGTTGGATTTTATGATTAGGTTATCATTAGATCTGCTTTAGGTAAAATTTTGTTGATTGGAACATTACAGCCAAAGTGCTTGTTCACAAGAAGACCTGTAAATCATACTGAACCCTCCTTGCAATATGGTGTATTTTATTAGCAGGTTGTGGCCACCATTGTTAAAGCATTATAATTCATCAGTTCAAACATATATGGTAAATTATGCATTTTGAGTTTAATTTCTTTGTTAAAGTATAAAACTGATTCATATCACAGAACAAGTTCATTTTATGATATACATTCATCTTGGTTATAGTTATTAGCTAGGTTCTTTTAATTATTTACAAGTAAATAATTAGAAATGTGATTGTTAAGAATAAGTAAATGTTTATTAATGGAAGATATAATTTTGTTCCAGTTTGTCAGCCAGCACTTTATCCATGTCATCAAGCAGTTCTCTCGGGTCTCTCAGCACTGGGTCGTTGTCTAATAGCAGCAAAGGCTCATTGAGTAGTCTCAGTTTCACTGATATCTATGGGCTTCCTCCAATTGCTGTCAATCCATCTCTTGAAGATCTTCACAAGCAAGTTAGTCAAATTTTACAGTGCAGTACACACAGTATCAATTCAGGAGCAGCATTTGAAGATTCATCTTCACCAGGATTAGGCCCAGGGCTTAGTGGACCATCTCTCTCTCCTCGTTCATCACTTTCATCTGTATCTCCACCAGTCTCACCATATGACCCTGCTTTTGAAATAGCTCATTGGGATAGGCAACAAAGGGTTGACATGAACAACATACAAGAACAGCTTGGAGAGCTGAGACTAATGCCTTCGTCTCCAGAGTTTCTTAAAAGTGGCAACTTAAATGCAATCTCACATGTTCAACATCATAAGGGGAATCTACCTCGTAGATGTCAAATCCAGGGTCAATCTTCAGATCAGTATGTTTTTTCTGCACAACAGCAGCCCCTAGACACAAGTGCTGAGACTTCAAGAAATACCGCACTTAGTCCAATCTGTGAGCATGGACTCAGTTCTGATACAGTTGATAATACTAGCTTAGTTAACAGTCAGGGTTTGTGTGCAGCAGGCAGTGATGAATCAGTAGCAGGAGACAGTGGAGTTTTTGAAGCTTCAGTAAAACGGTATGTCTAGTCATTTTGTTATTTTATTGATCTATTTATAAGTATTGCTTCGGCATAGGGAAAGCATTGTCACCCAAGTAGTGTAAATAATCTTCTGTTTTTCCTATTTTGTTATCTTACTATCAACATTTAAATATGTATATTATTTGGTATAAGTTATGTGACATTTATTTTCTGTTTTACTTATTTTTTGAGCCAAAAATATGTTTTCATTATAAAACCATGTTTTAACAGGCCAGAAAAGGACAGACTGGGATTACACAACTCTAACATTGAAGCAGCTCAAGTGCAAATTAAATTGAGGTAGGAATTAATGATCTTTTACAAACTTGTGAATTAATCAATTAAGATTAATGTATAAATATTTTTAATAATTTTATTTTTTGATGTTAAAATGTTTTAGAATAAACTAATAGTTTTTATAGCACTGAAAATTTTTAGCTCATTGCACAAGATAATAAGCTTTAAGTGATAGTCTTACTGCATACATCATTATGCAATTAAATTAGCCCTCTTATTATTGATTATGTTAGTTTTGTTACTAATGCAGTTAGCTCTTTGAAAAACTGTATAATGATTAAAAAACTGCATAATGTATCTATTTTGTCTAGCATTATCAACTGTAATTGTGAACTGTCAATTAATTAGATAAATACATAATCAAAGCTAATTAAATAAATAATTCAAATAACAAATGCTAACAAAACGTACATCATAAATAAAACATAACTTACGATGTATATTAGTGTATGTTATTTTAACATATTTATTTATTTAGTTTTGATTATAAAATGTCAGAAATTGAGAACAAAGAAATATCTAAGTCAGTATGTTGCTCATTTTTGCCAGATTTGTTGAATTGGTAAATATTGGTTATCAGTTTTGCTTAAAATTGTAGCCTCACAGAGGATATTTTCTATTTCTGATGTCAAGCTTAGACAAGATTTTGATCAGAAGATTTAGTTGTGTAAAATATGTTAGAATATCTCAAAAGGAAATATTTTCAGGAAACGTGGAATAATTCTGGTTTTGGGTTTATGTCTGCGTAATTGGATAAATTACAAGCTGTTCCACTTAAATGTCTACATACTTTCAAACTCCATCGTGAGAAGCATAGAGAGAGATTCAATAATATTTGTTGCTTTGACTTAGCAGTTTTTTCATTACAAGTACTTTTTTTATTAGCCAAGGAACTTCCCATTTAACTAAGAATACTTATAAGTTTCATATTTACCCATATCTGTATGGTAGTTCTAGTTATTGAAATTATGAGTTTTCAATTTTGCATAACATGCTATCATATTTTTTGTCACACTTTCAATGATTTAAAATGTTTCAACTTAGTTTTATTATATAGTAAAATTCTCCTTGGATTTCATATGCCTATTTCACCATGCTCTAAAGTGCTAGTTCAGTAACTGTCATGTGGGATAACTTATTTTAACAGCATAATCTATTTATTAAGATGATGATGATGATGTTTTTTTTTAAGGTATGCTGTAGATGACAATTTGCTTCATGTTGGGGTTGAACGAGCAAGAAATTTAATGGCATTATTTGTGCCTGACGATCACAAAGTGTAAGTTTTGAAACACTTTTCTGTTTTATTATGGAGTTTCTTTAGTGGGTATTATTGTACTTTTTTCTTTGCCAAGTACAATGGGTTTTTCTTGTAACTTGATAAGAACAAAAGAAGACATTCTTTAGACTCAACTAGAATGTAGAAATTTACTGTGAATTAGTGCTCTCAAAGATTCAAACATTATTTGATCTAAAGACCCAATATCAAAATATAAGCATTGTACAGAATAGATTTTTATGCACTCTGTTTAATTTAAAAATTTTATTGAAGGCTAAAAGAAAGTTACTTCTTTTTTTTAGGGACACATATTAGAAATAATTATTACCAAACTATTAGTTGGTTTGGTTTGTTATGAATTTTGCGCAAAGCTACACAAGGGCTATCTGTGCTAGCCATCCCTAATTTAGCAGTGAAAGACTAGAGGGAAAGCAGCTTGTCATCACCACCCACCTCCAAATCTTGAGCTACTTTTTTACCAATGAATAGTGGGATTGACCATCACATTATAACACCCTCATGGCTGAAAGGGTGAGCATGTTTGGTGGGACAGGGATTCGAACCCGCAGATTGCGAGTCGAGTACCCTAACCAAACTATTAAAATAATACTTTCTTATTGTTATAAAAGTGTGTTTGTATTAATCTTAATGCTATCCCTTTCAGTTTTTTTTTTTTAGGCTGAGTAAAATCATCTGGTAGACAGTGAGTATAATCCAATCTATCATAACAGGAAGTTTGAGGAATTATACATTTTTATCAAAAAAAAAGACACTTTTTTCCCCCCTCTTTTTACTTTCCTGTTAAATTGTGAGAACATTAGTTTACATTTTCATATTAATATTTCTAGGTACATCAAAACAAGCTTGTTACCTGGATCTTTAGACATGTTACAGAAGGAGAGTACCAAGTTCTTGGACAGTCTAAGAAAGCCAACCATTGGTGAAAACTTCAGATTCCACATTCCTTTGTCCAAGCTGTATACAAAGACTTTACAAATTAGTGTTTGGTGCATGGCCCCCTCGGGAGAAGAGGAGTGTCTGGTTTGTTTTACTGTTTTGAGTAATTAACTTATCAAATATTATTGAAAGTCAAAAATATTGTTTTCAGTTTGTTTGTATGCTGTTTTTAAGTTAGTATGTGATCATTCACTCAGGTTTCTCTAAACTTTTAATAAAAAATCCTTAAGGTATGAATGAAATGTTACAGTAGAGTGAATAATTTGTTATTCAGTGTGGATATCTAATTTTAAACTGATATTTTTTTTAAAGTTCTAATAAATTGCACTTAGCATTTAACAAGTGCAAGGCTGACTAACAAGAATGAAAAAAAAATTAAAATCCACTCTTCTTTGTTAATAATCTTTGAATGTAGTCTAGCAGATAAGCACCCAAAATTGTCCAAATTGTGAAGAAACCTTGAAAATTTTCATACTTGTAGATTTTTACATGGAGGTTCATATAAAAACAAGATCCAATGCTGATCTTGCCCTAATTAACCACCATCTTGGATTCCAATATGGCAGCCATCATCTAGTGTCATCTAAATGTTTAAACATGTTATCTTGGCTAGTAAGTTTGGTTTTAATAATCAAACAAATGTATAAACCATTATAATTTTAAAGCGTGCTGCTAACCATTACTAGTTTGCTTCTGCATCTGAAAAATCAAGTGAACAACAGCAAAATCATAAACAAAAAAAGAAAATAATTATTATTACTTTTTAAAGTTTTCAGTGCTGACTGAAGGATGGAGACCACTTTAATCTGTTTTAACAATACTTTGTTAGCATGCTTTGCTGTGCACTGTTCCATTATATTGTTGTAGTTTTATTTTTTGTTTACTATAATTCAAAATTGGTCTTCAAACCTGTGACGTTCAAAGACCCTTCAAAAGGTGTAAGCCAAAATGTTGGGTAGAATAAAAAAATTATCTGAAGTTGTTTTTTATCTTCATTGAAAATTAAATTAATTATTATTTTTTTTACATTTCACCAATTTTATTATTTCTACATTGGGAATAATAAAATTACTTTGGAACCTTTATATGATATCTTAAGTACATTTAAAAGGGCATGAGATAATACCAATGCTCCAGTGAATGATTTTTGGAAGATCTGAATGTATTTTCCCCCGTGTATCGCTTACAGTGGACATTAACGTTGTAGTTTTGGAAATTGCCCATGTGCACAAATTACACATCCAGGAGTTATGGATTGCTTTTGGAGTTACCAAAAATATCTCGTATATCCCTCCAGACAGTATTGCCAATGATTTTGTTCTAAGCACATGCAAGAATCTAACTTTCTGTCACACATTCATGGGCTTCAGTAATGTGTCAGCCTTCTTTGAATGAGAAAAGAAAACTGCATTTGTAACTACAGCATTTGCTAACTTTTCAGAAACACCACAAGAAATCAAGCAGGAGGATCGTGCATTGACAGAATGGTTCATTGTGTTACTGCACAGCTGCATTTGCCCAATTAATGATGTGAACCAGGCCAACCAAGCACTCTTTGCCCAAGGAAAAGGAGCAAGAAAAAACATCCCTCCATTGCAGACTGCTCTTGAACAGCATGTCATATATGGGAGCATCCAATAGTGCTTGAACAGGATGTACCAACTCCAGGTGAATGAAGTTGGGAGCAAGCAGACAAAGGCTGGACACCTTTGAACAATTGTAACAGAAGCTGTCAAGTCATGCAATGACCTCATCCATGTTCCAGCAAGAAAATATGCAGAGATCTTGGCAAATGCTTGCCCTACACTGCATTGTGTTTCTGTGCTAGAAATTGCCACCAAGAGTAATGTTTCAAATGTCCATGATGGTTGGGATAAACTTTAAATCATCTTTGTTTGCATTGGTGTAAACTATACATGTATTTGCATGAATCATGTGATTCTTGTAGCATAAGTTACAGTAATGTTTGGATAGCTTTTTATGCTTTAAGTACGATTGTTATTTTTTGTCTTTGTGTTTGAGTGAAGTTTACACTAGTGATGGATGATGTTTCACATTGTGGTACACATTTGACAGATGTGTTCTTAATGCACATGCTATATAATTGTTATAATTGTATATTTCAAGCCTTTTGTATGTGGCTAGTTAAACATAATTCAATAAAGATATAGAAGATCAAGAAAGTTTGTCAAACAGGAAATTAGGACATCAAAAATAATGTATGAAAAAAAGTCAGCTGAAAATGTAAAAAATTTACAGTAAGGACTTTTTCTAATAAATTAAGGGTAAACAAAATGTTAGGATGGGGGTAGGACCTTTGAAGGATGATAAAGAAAGGTTGATTAATATGAGATCACTGGGTTATAAAATCCTGCTTTTTCTTCAGTTTTTACAAATGAAGATTTAAACAATATTCCTCGTGTTGAACAGTTGAAAAATGGAAATAAGATCAAACAAGATGATCACATTAATTCTGAGCTTGTTAAGAAAAGAGTGGAATGTATAAAGAACAATAAGGCTTCTGGGCCAGATAATATTTTCCCAAAGGTTTTGAAGGAGGTTAAGGATTGGATATGTGATCCACTTGCAACTATCTTTTTTTATAACTCCTTGAATAGTGGGATTGGAAGTTGGCTAATGTTACTCCTTGTTGCAAGAGAGGTGATAAAAATTGTCCCAGGAATTATAGGCCTATTAGTCTTGCATCAGTTGTGGGAAAAGTTTTAGAAAGTCTGATAAAAGATGCTTTGCAAAATCATTTAACCAAGTTCAGAATTTTTTTGGATAGTCAACATGGTTTCACTAATGAAAAATCTTGCCTTACAACTCTTTTGTCATTCTTTGAAAAGGTTACTGCTTATGTAGATGAGGATAAGAGTGTAGATTTGGTATATCTGGATTTTCAGAAAGCATTTGACAAGGTGCCACATAAAAGGCTTGTAAAAAATTATCTTTAAAGGTGTGGCGGATAAGTTAGCTAATTGGATAGATGAGTGGCTGGATGAAAGAAATCAGAGGATTGTTATAAATGAAGTTCAGTCAAACTGGTTTACTGTCACAGCTCAGTTTACTGGCTCAGTCTTAGGACTTTTGCTCTTTTTTAATTTACATCAATGACATAGATGAAGGAATCATCAATAAATTTGCTGATGACATTAAGGTCTTAGGTGTTATTTGTTGTGAGGAGGAGGAAGATGTTTTACAAAAGGATTTGGGCAAATAAATGGCAGATGGATTTTAATTATAATAAACGCAAGATAATGCACATGGGTTATCATAATTTGGATGGGAATAACCTTAACAGTGTCATGAAAGAAAGGGATCTTGGTGTAATGATTGATCAGTCTCTTAAGTCATTGAAATAGGATTTTAGGTTGTATCTACAGAAACATTGAATACAAGTCTAAAGAGGTTATAATTTCATTGTACAGGTCACTGGTTAGGCCACATTTGAGATATTATGTTCAATTTTGGGCTCCTTACCTTAGGAAAGACATTGAATTATTGGAAAGGATTACTAGAATTGTGCCTGGGATGGAGGGGTTGTAATATGAAGAGAGATTAAGATTACTGAAATTGTTTTCTCTTGAAAAAAAAGAGTTTGAGGGGATCTTATTGAGGTGTTTAAGATTGTTAAGGGAATTGATAAGTGTTGATGCATCATCTTTTTTTGTACTTAATGGTGAGAATGGTAAGACAAGGGAACACATATAAATTTTGGCAGGATAGGAGTCGTCTTCAGCTATGACAGTTTTGTTTTTCTAACAGGGTGGTTGGCCTTTGGAATGTGTTGTTTCAGATGTTGTGGAGGCAGTAAACTGAAGTGAGTTTAAGAAAAAGCTCTAAGTGAATGGCTTTGAGGGTTTATTTTTATTTAATAGTTTTAGTTTAGTTTAGAGGATGGGACAGCCTAGATAGACCAATAGGTCCCTTGTTGTCCCTAATCATTATGTTATCTTATAATGATATTTGTATTATAAAATGTTTTGTACTTTAACTAACAGCCATATTGAAACTAGAAAACTTCATATGCTAAATTAATTGCTACAATCAAATTCTGACCAGAAAAATCTAGTTTCAGGTATTGAAATGACATTTATGTGGAGGTTGAAAATATAGTTTTACACAAATAGTTACACAAATATAGTTTTTTGGTGGCCATATTAAAATTTAATATGGTGGCTGTTTAGGAAAATCTCCACAATAAGTTTTGCTTTTACATGAATCTTTACATAAAAAATCTATATGATTGCCAAACTATAGAAATTTAAATGACATTTCTATGTACATTTGAAACGTGTAGTTGAGCAGATGTCTGCTATATTGGAATAAGAAATGGTTGCGACTGTTCAAAGTGTGAAGAAAGCATGAAAATTGGTGTGTTTTCAGTTTATATATATATACACACACACACACACCAGTTTTCAGTGTTTCTTCACCCTTTGAACAATTTTTAAAATTATCTGTTGCACTAAATGTAGGTTCAATAGGAAAAAACTCACTTGGGTCATAATTCAATAGTAGAGGTCAAGACAACAAGAAAACTAAAATAAGTGAAAATAGTCAGATAGAAATTGTTGGGTTTAAATGTTTATTGTATTTAAAAAGGGTTTGTATTTTTCATCTGAAATAATAAGTATAAATTAAATTTTTTAAACAAATTGTTTGGATTGTAAAAATTTCAGGAAAGAATTGCTTAAATATTTAAAGAAGTTAAAATGTTTGTTTGTAAGTTTTATTTTTAATTTTATTTTTTTGCCTTAAGACAGAAAAATGGCAAATTCTAAAGTGTCACATTAACCTTACCAATTCAGAAGAGTAGAAAATGTATAATTTGAAGTATAGATTATGGAATATTATTGTATCTAAATTATGATCTTACTAAAATAGTCTTAAGACTTTTTTGCACAATACTTTAGCCATTAAACTTCTTTTTTTTCCCATTTTCTTGAGTACCAGATTTTATGTATTGGTATGCAAGTTGCTAATGTAAATAATTCCTCTGGATATTTTCATTTATTTTTGCTTAATTTTATATTTTAAACTATTGCAGGGTGGTGCTCAAGTCAGTCTTGCTGACTTCAACTCAGATATCACCATTACAAAGTGGTACAATATGCTCAATTTTCGATTCCTGCAACCAGAAGCAGTTCATGACAAAAATCAGAAGGTATACGTATATTGAAGATTTTTGTGATGTTTATATTTGAGAGTACATTGGAAATTTCTGTTCACATTATTTTCTTATAAGACTTTTTTTTAAATAATTCTAAGTGATTTATATGAGCTGTTAATTTTGAATAGTTGCTAAATATGAAATTGTTACTCATATAACTAAAGTCCAATTATCTTTAGGCTGTTACTAAGGCTGAAGAAGAACGAGTTGACTTAGGTGAATCTTTACATGCTCGGGTTTTTACTTTAAAAGAAGAAAGTAGTGATGAGTCGACCATAATTTCATCCCAAACTTCAACACTTACCAGGAATCAAGGTACAAGATTTACATAATTTTTTTTATTTGTAGGGGGCTTCAATTGTGTTTTTATCATTATTTTCTTTTTGATTAGGAATGTTTAAATGCCTTTTTTAATGAAATTATTCCTTTAGTGCTGAAATTTCAGAAGAACTGTTCTTTAGGCCTCAGAGAAGTTATAAAAAACCTACTTATTTGAGAGTAATGCAGGATTTTTTTTTAGTTTAATATTTATAGGGGAGGAAATTCTGCCATGACTGAACTAATTTCATTTTTTTCATTACTTTTGTCAAATATTTTTAATAGTGAATGGTAGATCAAGAAAAAATTTAAAATGATCATAACGTCTGAGTGTTAATCTCAGGTCTAATGTGAAAAGCCAACCAAAACATAAATAGATGGGTGGGCTGTACAGCTTTAGTCTCGTATATATTTTGCAAGTCTGTTTCAGTAATTCATATAAACTAAAAAGGTAAAAGTTATGACACCATCTTAACAATGAAGACTTGTAGATCACACTATATGAGTTTGTTTGAGAAATAACTATATCTCAATTTCTACGAAATCGCTGCATCATGGTAACACATTTCATAGTAAGAGCTTCACTAAAATTATTAGGAAAATGTAAAATGTCACTTGAGAAACTTATTACAAATAATCATTTTTTTGTTTTTTTTTCATTTTATTTATTTGCCAAAAAAAGCTCCATTCAAGGTGCTAATGCATCCTTAAATTTTTTTTCTGATAAAAATAACTGAAATACATTTTAAAATATTGTTTTTATTGAAATATGAATCTAGTAATGTAAGGGGTGTCAAGTCTTAACTTCTGGTGAGGCTGGTTCTATAAAAGTTAACTCATTAATGTTATTTTTCAGTGAATGTTATTATCGTACAAAATGACAAAACACAAATGAACTTAATGTTATATCTAAAAAATTACTATATGACATTAAAAAAACATGTAAAGAAAAGAAAAATAATTTAATGAGTAGCCTAGAGTTTAGTGTATTACTAAGAAAAATTTGATAAACAGTTATTACTTTATATTTGTAAGTTTTTATCTGTTTGACAAAACCCACATGGTGAGCATGTCATCTTTTAATCATCTTAAAGAAACAGATTCAAATCATGACATTCTTTAGCAATGAAAATTCATAAAATGTTTTTCATATCTAAATTTTAGTATAACAAAGGCTGGTTGTTTTTGTTTGTTTTTTTCATGAAAGATCCAGGTATTGTGGAATATGATGATTTATTAATGGGACAAGATGATGATGAAGAAAGTGATGATGAGGAGGAGAATTTTATGGAAAACTGTAGAAACATTGCTGATGAAACAGATTTTCAAGAGTCTGAATATGCTGGGGACAACAAGTGTGAGGTATTATTTTGATGGTGCATCAGTGCTGATAGTTTTGGATTTATATGAAAATTTAATATATAAAATGTGGTTCAGTTTGTAATAAGTAATTAGTAGTTTAATTTTATATAAGTAAAAATAAATATTTGTAAAATATTTTTGTAAGCATCTTGCTAATTTTTGTAACTCAAATGAAGAATATAATTAAATTTAAAAATTTATAATGTAAATGTGAAATTTTAAGACATGATTTTATAGATGGGTGTATTGTTATATTCTAATTCACTCACACACTACAGGTAGGTTAAAGTGTGCATGTCATGACCTTTTAGAGAGTTACATACCAAATTTAATTGCTTTATTATCAGTGTATACAAATAAACTTGGCATCAAAACACAGTTAATAAATCAAATATTAATATTAGTTTTAAGTTTTTAATTTTATAAGGAAATATATTTAAAAATTCTTAACCTTCCCTATTATGAGAATTGTGACATTTCTTCTCTAATCCATTTTCTAATTTATTTATCACTCCTTTCTGAAATAAGGAGTTTAATGTAAATTACTCATTATAATATAGGTATTACTAAGACAAAGTCTAATTTTTATAGCCTTCAATTGTATTTGCTTGCAGAGTCATAAACTACAAAATCAGATCCACTTGCCCACTTATCGCATCCTGTCGTTCAAAAATTGCCAATAGTTCTCTGACGTTTTATACTATATTATTTATAATCAGTATGAAGACAAAGTCTTAATCAATCAAATGACGTATCATATTACACTGATTCCAGTACAAGATATTATTTATCTTGTCTTTATTTTGAAAGTTTCTTTTATGGTGTTCTGATCAAAAAGCTTTGGAAATTATTTTTATGCTCTTATGCCATAGTTATAGAACATTGTTTGCTTTTTGCATGTTATTATTCTGTGTTCCAATGTGCATTATTAAAGTAAATAAAAAATTATTTACCAGTACCATTAGCATGAAAAAATAAGTAGGCTTAAATTGACTGCCAACCAACAGCTTAAAAACAATAGGACAAAGATAAGTACTATATTTATTGTTTTTCATGTATATTCCTTATTCATTGTTACAAAAGAAACTCAAATGTAAAAATTAGAACTTATTAGGTTAGATTAGGTAAGATAATGAATAATAATAATAAAAATTCTTCATAAGGTATGCTTCCGAGCAGCTCATGCTTTAAGTCATTCAATATGGTAACATGAGTTAGGTGTTCACCAAGTGAGTTACAACTTGTACGGCAGGATTATTATTAGACATAGTTCAAAGGGCAATAAAACTGAAATTAAGTATAAGTAGATGTATACTATTATGAGCTTTAAGCTATTTAGGATAAACAATTGTAGTTTCCTGTTACAATCTGCAGCCATTCTATAAATTAAAGAAAGTAACTTAAATTTATTTTGTATTTTTTTATGGTGGTTACAAAATCAATCAAAGCAACTGAGTGCATATAGAGTTAGGGTAGAGAAAACAATAGATAAAATATAACATGTTACAGAAAAAAGTTTGATGTTTATTTAGGAGATTTTAAAGGTTATGCAAATAAAATTTATAAATTTTCAGATGAAGAAAAAATGTTTAATCATGACATGAAAATTACTTTGCACTCGGAGCAGTCGACGCTTTGACTCCATATATTCATGGACAAATTTTTAGGAAAAAATACTTAATTAAAAAATCTGATTTTTTTTACAAAAAACTTTTAATTGTTTATTGAAAACTTGCCAAATTTCATAATGATACATAAAACATATTAAAAGTTACAGTATGGAAACTCTAATGACTACTTTGTGGCTACAAGGTCAGTCACATTGACTGACCCTTTATGGAAAAAGTTAATTGTTTGAGTAGCAAATCACCTTGTATAGGCTACATCATATTTGTTGACAATGCCTGACAGCATAACTAGGTGTTACTGGCAACACTTAGAAGAACTAACTATATTCTTGTAGCAAGTGTGTTACATTTTGATCTGTTTAAATAACTAAATATATGGCATGCATATACAATTCTTTTTTTTTTCCTTCTTTGTTAAAAAGCAGTTATATTTTAAAAGAAACAACACAGTAAACTAACTGAGAAAATTACCTTATTAATATTATAATAACTTGATGACTGTTGTAGGTGAAAACAGTTTTTTAAATAAAAATTTTAAAGCATCTCTTTATAAAAAGCATAATTAGACAAGATTTTTTACAATGTAAGAAAGAAATCTTTTGGTTAATTTGTTCAATTATCTTTCATTTCTTTTCTTCAGTTGCAACAAGAGGAAATATGTGAGGAGTGTTTAGCTGAGAAAATAAACCAGCAGGTGGAACTTTGTGATAAAGAGACCAACACAGAATGTGTTTTTCCTCCATTTCGTGGAAAACAGAAACAAACCGAAGATGCTATGCGAACCAGTGTCATCAAACGATCACAAACCTTCACTCCCAGTGTTGCTGTAAACAAACACCAGTATGTTTGTAGAGTAAGTGTAGTTCATTTGTGCTTGATAAATGTGGATGAAGCATAACTGCACTTTTATTTGCCTCTTTGAAAAGTCCAAGTACAAATATTTATATAAAATGTAATATCAAACTTCTTAATCTCGCATGTAGTTGAAAAATGTGCATAGTCTCATGTACATATTTTGTAGAATAAATATTTCATGTTACAAGGGATGATAATTAAAGGAAAAGGACTATAACTTCACTTAAGTATTTTGTTTTGAGTTTTGAAAGAGTAGTAATTTTCTTATGTTTTCACTCATTAATCAGTTTACTATAAGGTGAAATTATATTTGTAAAATTGTTTTATCATATACATTAATTGTCATAACATATAAATATTTATTTAATTTTAGTTAAACAGAAGTGACAGTGATAGTTCTATGCCCTTGTACAAAAAAGGAGCTACTTTCCAACGGAATTCTGCCAGACGTCAGAGTCTCAGACTGAAGAAGGTTGGTAAAAGTAATTTAAAGTCAAAACTAGAAAAGAAGCCTTTTGTGGTAAAATTTTTCTTACCTTTTATTGTAAAAATTAGTTTTGGATCATTTAATATAAAAAAAGAAATATTTTGAGGTTAATGAAATAAAAACATGGTTAATATCAGTACGTAGCAGACTGTTATTCTGCAGAAATAGTTGAGGCTACTGTTTTGAAGTGTCTGAAGAATTTTATTAGTTTTGAAAACAAGTCTACAGACTTCATGTGAAACACAAATGATTTTTTTATAATACCCATGTTTTTTTTTCCTAATTTTTACCTTTTAAGTTTACTTTAGAAATTTCAGGGCAGAGTCGATGATCTTATGTCAAAGTGTATGATATAGGGTTTTCTCTAAATCATAAATATGTGTTGCTTAATATGTAAGAAACATGAGAGATCAGATGTTAACAAAATAGCTGTGCATGGTCTAATGGTTAACATGCTGAGACTGTGAATTTGAGGGTTCATGGTTTGCATCATATTTTCACAGAATGTGCTCTGCACTTTAGGGTAAGTGTGCTTTAAGAGTGATGAGCATATCACATATTTGGTCAGAGATACGTCTTATTAATTCAAAGCTAGGAATGGCTATAAACAGAGCCCTTGAGTAGCTTAACAGGAAAATTTAAAACAATGTAATACAATGTTAAAGGACCCAAAGTTTTTACCTTAGGCTATAGTGAAATATATCAGAAGGAAAACAATTTTTTTCCTCCGTTAACTTTTGACTAAATAATGGAAGATTTTATTTTCTGTTTTACATAAACTGTTCATTGGCCAATATACAAGTTGTTTACAAAAGTGCCTAAGATTCAGTATCTTGTTTAAAAAACATTCTAATATTATATAAACTTTAATAATTATATGACTATAATCATTTTATAGGCTTTTATATTTTTATCTTTGTGCTGTATAAATAGTTGGAAATGTCTTAATATTTGTGAAACAATGGCCTTTTCTTGACATCACTAACTAGATGACCACAGTGTGTGCCAAGCACCATCATCCCTCTTCAGGTGGATTAAAAAATGCCAATGTACGAACTTCAATAGATCTAGCTTTAGACCTTCAAGCATCTCATACTCAACTAACACTTCTACAAGATGAGCTCTCCAGACTACGTAAAATGAAAGAACAGCTAGAATCAGTAAAGACAACACGTAAGCCACAAATTTACTGTAGCTTCTCAGGTTCTTGAGTCTATAATGAACCTACTCTGACACTAATGATTATTACAAATGGAGCCTGGCCGTGCATGTTTACTAAAGCTTGAATACTTATTTTTTGATTTCATCTTAAAACTCTCTAATTAAATGGAATCAATTTTGGGCTTAATTATCAAAAGATTTTTTTAAGTATTATCTGTAACTGAGAAAAATTGATTCATTGATAAGAAATATTTTGTCTTTACTATTAGCAATCTAAAGTTTATGCCTAGATGATACTACTAATTTTTTTAGTATAATTACTGAATCTCTAATTTTTGGGTTATTATAATTATTCTTTTTTTTTTTTTTTACATGCTGAGTAATTATTGGCCAGATTAATGTTGTTGAAATTTTTGTTTATTAGGTGGAGGTGCTATACCATCATGGTTATTAGAAAATGAGCAGATTCAACGAATATTATCAAGTGCTGTAAGTGAGGTAAGTAGATTTAAAAAATTATCTGTTCAACAAAAACGTAAAATAGAAAAAAAGGTCTTTTCAGAAATGCTACTCACTCTTCCATGAAAATATAACTACTATCTCTTGGCACTGCGAAAAACATTTTTGCACATACACCAAACTTTTGAATGAAATTCCATATGTGCCTTTCTATGGTGCAATCAGCATTAGACTATAACACTTCACCAGTAGCCTTCACCTACCGACATGTTGTGGTTTGTTGGCACCTCTTGATGTTTGTCGCATGCTCCGATCACCACTGGCGCTGTTGATCCATTTGCTAACTTGAGCTGACCGTCAATCATGTACTGTTTAATCATGGTGATAGCACTTCCTTCTTGTGGTGAATCTAACGAGTTGTCTCTATTCTGTTTCTTCTGGCAGTAGCATCCATGGTGACAGTCACTCTTTCCTTGTTTCTTGCCAGCACCATCTTTTGTAGGTAGCTCCAGCTGCTTTATGTTGAGATTTTGGCAGTTGCTTGTAGCTGTTGAACTTGCACTCACTTGCAATGTGCCCCATTTTATAACAAGTATAGCATCTCTTCCTTTTGTCTGTTGAATTCTTGTCATCTTTCGTAACATTCTGCTTCTGGTCAACCACCCATGGTTTTCGATTTGATTGATGATTCTTGGACTTGCCAGTTATACTCCCTCCATGGGTTTCCATGTTCAGTTCTGCCAGCTTGGTAATCTTGTCCACATCTGTCAGTGCTATTTCTTTTAAGTGACTTGTCAGTGGAGCATGTGATCATGAACTGTTCATGTATTAATAGCTCCACTAATCCTTCAAAACTATCTTCACATTTGGCCATGTCAGTCCACCTTGTGAAGTATTGCCATAGATGTGCCACAAACTGAAAGACAGTCTCTCCAGTGTCAGGTTTGACTTCTCTGAACTTCCAGCAAAAACCTTCCTCGGTGAGTTCATAGCATTTTAGCAAGGCCACTTTTAATTTGTCATAGTCCATGACATCTTCTGGTGTCATGCACACAAACACTTGTAAGCCTTTTCCTGTGAAAAGTGGGCTGAGACAGACTGTTCAGTAGCCTTTGTCCCAGTTCTGACTTTGGGCGAATCTTTCGTACTTCTTCAGAAAAGCACCATGTCATCTTTCTGTTCATCAACTTTGAGCAGCTTGGGTCAGCTTGCCCTGACCCCAGTGTCATTCTTGGGTCCTTCATCTTTCTGTTTGGTAAGCTTTGTGATCTCAATTTGTGCTTTTATTCTCTCTATTTCCAGTCTCTCTCTCCTTTTCTTCCTACTCAGTTTGTGCTCTTACTCTCTCTCTCTCTCCTTTTCTTCTTTCAGTCTCTTCTTCTCTCTCTCTCTCCTTTCTTCTTTCAGTCTTTCTTCCTCTCTCTCTCTCCTTTTCTTCTTTCAGTCTTTCTTCCTCTCTTCTCTCTCTAGGTCCTGTTGTTGTTGTTTAACAAACTCTCATAGATCGCCATATTTAAGCCCAAGTTGCTCACCTCTCTCAATCCACTTATCAAAGTCAGTGAACATGGTTATCACCACCACTACAGCTTTGTGTATTTAGACCTATTTACCTGTTATTTATGTCTCTTCTACTGCTGTTTATCCATGTAGATCCTGGCTGGGCTGGATTCTTTACAGTAGGTGTCTGAGACTTGTTGGTGATAAATTTCAATAATTTATTAAAACAAGTCAAGTCTAGTGCAATCCACTCCTTACACCATTAATAGTGGATATGCCAGCCGACTGGATCTTGCATTCACCTTGGGACACGGGTCTGGGATGATTTATCTCTGCACTTGCTTATTGTAGTAAATATTTCACATAAGTATTTCTTGCATGATATACGGCTTCATTCAATGCCAAACCCCTGAGATCTACAGTTCAGTTAAGCAATCATGACATTTCTCCCACCTGTGCAACACATTAACACCATGCAAGGGGTTTATTTGACTGTACATTTTGCTGTATCACTTCTGTTTCCTGAAGAGTATTCCTTACATGAGATATGTGCTGTCTCGATTGCCCCACTTGGTTCCCCTATTAATAAGTGACATGCTCCATGAGTTTTCCCATTCTGTTACTATATTCAGGAAGAACTTGAAAAAATGAACTCCTGTATCAACTTTGATCTATCCACTGTCTTATCAATGTAGGATTCTAGTTATCTTTCTGTGTAGAGGTGAGTAGTATTTCTGAAGTTAACATTTTCCTTACCTGAAAATATATTTCAGACAGATTCTCACCACTAAACAGAATCTTCCTACTTCTACTGTGTCTCTTTTTGCCTTGTCAAGAATGAGTCTCTGGTGTACACAATGTTCTCAAGGAGAGTAGTACACATTGAGGACATATCAACTTCCTGACCTTCTATTAGTGGAGGGCTGTAGCCTGATGCTCGTTACATCATAGTCTGCCATTGTACCTATTATTATTACATGTATAGGTGGGAATTTTCTTCGGAGGCTTGTGTGTACACAAAAACGTTTTTTGGTAGTGACATGAATTAATAGCTATATCTGTTCCATGGAGAGGTATTTATCTCAAATTCATTTTTAGATAAGGAAATGTTAACTTCGAAGAAAAAGTATAATACGAAATTTCTTAAATAAAACAGGTATATATATATCATTAACAGTCACATTAATTTTTTAACTTCTCTCTCTGGAGATTTGGTGTTAAGGTACATTTAGCAGACTTCCTAGAGACTACCATTTAAATATTATATTTTTATATGTTGAAACTACTTATTCAGTTTCAGCTTTTAAGTTTTATCAGACTACACAAAAAAAAAATGTTCTACAACAATCTAATAACCTGCAACTTTTATAGGTTATCAATTATATTTTCTATGCTGCTGTTATGTATTGTTAATACTGATAAATCCTGAGCACTAAAATTATACTAAGATATCATTTGCTCTTTTTTTAATTCTTTTTTGTTAATTATGAATTGCTGTGATTAGCATATTTAAACTAATTATCACTGTTGACAAACTTGTAGTAATTTAGTTCATTTAAATTTTTTTTATAAAACTTCAGACATTTTTCTTTATAACAAAAAAGGTTTTATGAAGTTGTCAAAAGTGTGGTCGGCATATTTTGTTTTAAATGGACACCGCATTTCTTGTGTATTACAAATTGTAAATGATGCACATTATAAAGGAACAAAAACAAGCCACTTATTGTCTATTGTCAACAGCACCCTAGTTTCGTTGTGCTACTTCTAATAAAAATGTTAAGGTTTTACAAATTTTATTCTGATATTTTTGTATTATCTTTCTTAGCAAAATGCTCCATGCAGAGATGGGATGATGGTCTTTCGTTTATTTTCATATTTCATAAAAAGTTAATTTAATATCTTCTTGTTTTTTAATCAAATTAGACATGCAAAAATAGTCCCGAAGAGAAGAAGCTAGAAAAGAGGCTAAAAAGATCATCTAAAGAAATCTATAAACTTAGAAGAAATAGAAAAAAGCAACCTGATATATCAAGCTTCAGGCAAGTGTGTTGTCTTTATAATAAGTGCATGTATACATTTCAACAAAAGAAAAGAGTAATGCTTATGGTGAGCACTTGCACATTTTCTCTTGTACATTCCCTCTATTTGAACTTAATAATTTTGACCAACCTTGCAACCACCATGTAACCATGAAATTATACATACTGTAACATTTATTATAGTAACTGTATCTTCACGAAATTTGGCAAGCTTTAAGTAAATGTTACAAGTCTTGTACATGAAAATGCAGATTTTCTAATTAATTATTTTTTAGTAGAGATTTGTTATTGAATTTATGGTGTCAGTGTCTGACTAGTCTGAGGGCAAGGGAATTTCATTAAAAATACTTTTTCTTTTTTCATTTTACAATCTTCATATTTCATTTGCATAACCTTTAGAATGTTGCAAATGAAAATCAAAAGGTTTTTCATTAAAGTGTATTTTATCTGTTCTTTTCTCTACCCTAACGCTAACAAACCTTGCAACCTTCACAAAAACAATACAGAATAAAACTAAATTACTATTTTTTTTCATTTTCAGATTATTACAGACAATTATACACTATTTATTCTTACAGCTAAAGCTAATACAGTTCAAATTCCCACTCATTGAGATTTATTGACTACCAGTTAGATCAGCACCAAAGCAAATTATCACCATGGGGAAACTTTGTTTAAACACAGCATTGAGTTACCAACACACTCAGTCAAATTACAACATGCTGCACTCATGATACATGCCAGTGCTTTTGAGAATTTTTTATTTAATTTTATGCACATATCCTAGTAAGTTTCTAATTTTTACATTTGAGTTACTTTTATAATGTTAAATGAAAAATATACATAAAAATACAACAATAAATTTACTACTTTTGAGTCTTGTACTTTTTTCTCTCAAAGTCACAATTAAAGTAAACCATATTTTTTGCAGAGGTGTTTTTGGTGCCTTATTTATTTTACATGTGCAATTTAGAACACAAAATGTTATCATGCAACAAAAACAATGTACTTAAACTACTAGAATTTAAATGGTTTTCTAAGTTAATAAAATTTCCTTACTTGTTCAAGGCAATCTCTGCAATAGCAAACTATGAAATGGATGCAGGATAACTCAAAAGTGATCATGAAAATGAGCTAACCTAGTAGAAAAAATACATTAAATTAATATATTTTCCTTCTGTTGACTATGAATAATCCTTCTTTTTTTTCTTTTTTTTAAGACAGCATGTGCTAAGAGGGTAATGACATGCGAGTTTACGTTTATGCCACATAACTCATTAATGCAAGAAGAATAGACTATAAATTTTAATTTTAGCTTTAAACTATATAACGTTTAAGTGTGCAAATCCTCGGAATCTTAGAAAATAATATAGGAGTGGAAAGAAATTCTAAATTTGGGCCATTTAGAGAAAAGAAATGTCATGTGATACATAAAAGTAAAGGTTGAGAATTTATTATTTATATATTTCCTTTTGAAATTAAAAATTAAAACTTGTATAATGTTAAGATCTTAATTATAAACTACATTTTGATGCCAACTTTACTGACATATATTGATAATTAAATTTTGAATATAACTGTAAAAAAAAGGATCATGACACTTACCTACCTGTATCTAGAAGACTAATAAGGTTTTCTCTAGTGGTAGATTTTTATGTGTGTTAGTTAAAAATAAAACTTGGTCTCATAATTACACTTTTCATTCTTGCAGGGACAAAATGGCCTTCTTTACACAAGTTAATACCATCATCCCATCTCTACCTTCAAGTGAAAGTGCTGGAAGTGTGACATCCCAGAATATCTGTGCTCCTCATGACACTATATCTGTTACTGGACCAAACAAACAAAACAGTGAAGAAGCTAAGACTAACTCACAGGAGCGATTTGAATACACGATTGATCCAGAGTATGGTGTGGAGGTGTGACCTTCATACTTTGTTTATATGGAAGTGAAACTTCACTGTATGTGTTATGATATGTCTATCAGTGTATGACTCCTCGTAAATTGGTCTCAGTTTAATGTGGTCATATGATCTGGTCTCTTGTGGAGTTGGTGTACACAGACAAGTATAGCCGTTTATTAAAGTACACTCACTGGTTGTGATAGTAGTTACATTTTATCATAAAAACTCTGTGATTAAACTAAAGAGAAGTTGATTGGAAAAGAAAAGCCTCAATCATGCATTTATCAAAGCTACCCAGGTTTCTTCTATGTGCCAAGATACTCAAATTCACAGTTATTACAAATAAACTATGATGTGTTAATAGATAATATGCTTCTAAATTGCAATCTCATTTTTCTTAACATGTTTTTATATGCAGCACGAGGAAATGTAAAATACTTCTACATAAAAGCTCCATTGTTTACACTGTATCATGTTGTAAATACGATTGAATTTACTTAAGTGGATTTAAGTTCTTCCATAGGTGAAGCTGAATTAATAAACCCAGTGAAACTGATGAGTAGGCTATTTATAGATTTTAGTACATTGTGCTTTATCTTATTTCCATGAGAAAATGAGTTTTTGACTGAAACTGTTTATGTTGTGTGAAGAAAAGTGTTATCAAAAAAACAAAAAGCAAGATTCACTTCACGGGTAGTTGAGGTATTGTAATTACATTCATAACAGTGTTTATGAGTTAATGTAAGATAATTTGGGCTGCCTTGACCCACCATGCAAAAAAAAGTGGCTCAAATATCCATGCATTGTACATTAGCTTCTGATCTGAACTATGTTTTTGTACTACTTTTGATAGCCTTTCTCATATTAAACTAACTGTTCATATTGTTTATATTTGTGTGCAGAATTTAATATTACCGAGTGAAAGTAGCAGAATGAGTACAATTGGTATTATAATGAACAATTTGTACTCATCTTTTGTAAATTTATTCATTCTGTACAATGATTTTAAGCTTTTATTACTACTTTCAGCAGTATGTATAAGCTCATTTGCAGCTAAAAATAAACTTATTTTTATTTACATGTTTTAGATTTTTATTACAGAATTATTTATTACAGTAATTTCTTCATTACACAGAAAATTTATAATTTGAAAATCTTAAGTTATTTTATCCAAACTAGCTTCATAAAGTAAACAGGTCTGCTTATTATAGAGTACAAATAAAAACTAATGCCTAAAATATTAATACTAAGAAAAACACAAGAACATCGAAACCATGTTATACTGCAGAACCAGGATACATCTATAGGCAAACATTTCGCCATCAACAACATACAGTTGAGGACTTTTCGATTCTTGGACTTGTTAGTGCTCCGAACAGACATTCACAAAAGAGAACGACTGGAAAGTAGATTAACCTACAATCTGGGGACCCTACAGCCATCTGATTTAAATGAATGCTTTTTTTTCCTATAGATTTTCATTTTAAAATTTTTTTTTATATTTTAATTGCAGTCTGTTTTATCTTTTCATGTCTTGTAATATTTATGTAAAAATGTAATTTTGAACAGAAATTTCATGCTCAACATTCCAAATACTACGCACGTAATTGCTTTGAATTCTGCATATGTGCCTTTGTTGTAAGCTGTACGATCTGACGAAGAGTGCTAGCTCAAAACGTCATCCTTCTTTAAATAAAAATATACAAAAACTTAGTGATTGTTTAATCTACTCTTTAATTTCTATATATTATTCACCTATGTGGTTTTAACTATATATTTCTTTTTATAATCATGTTGAGTTCACCAGATAAATTCTGGAACTGGATTTGGTAGTGACAAGACTAGGGTAATTCAGGAAGGTCCTGTAGTGACAGATGGCACAGTAGTAGTGGTAATAGGTGTAGACCAAATAACTTCTCTTATTCCATATTTTGTAGTAGATGGTGTCTCAGGTTGGAATTATTATACAGATGCAGTGAGAGGTTTGCTGGTTTAGTCTTTGTATTTACCAATTCAGTTTCTAGCTACTTTATTTTGTCACTAATGTTCTTTTCTACCTCAGTGAACTTTTTGTGGTTCTTAAATTTTGTCATTACAACTTTTCTGTACTATATTGATGTCCTCCTCCACTTCGTCAAACTTGCTTTGTAATCTCTCTAAATTTCCCCATTAGCTTTGTGGATCTTGTTTTTTGTCAGAATTTTTAAGTGTGTGTGTATATATATGAGGGGAGGGGGGTTGTTAAGGATTCTTGTATAATAGGTGTCTGTGATTGTTGTAGATAAATTCGAATGATAAGCGGATAGCATGCACTCCACTTGTTTTGAAATAATATATTCAAAACAAGATAAGTATATGTACAAAAATTCTTTACACTATGGAGATCACAGTTGTATCTTAAACACTATGCAGTTCTCTTCTTGTCAAAAGGCCTCTTAGGCTAATTCAATTGCTTTAGAATCCAGTTGACAAGCCGAACTATTTTTCTCTACTTTTATCCAGGTAGGTTCGATTAATTTAGAACACCTTTTGATAAAATAAAATATTCTACTTATCTCTATCAAACTGTTAATCTCACTTTAACATATCAACCGTCAAGACTATTCATTCCTAAAATGGCTAAATTCACGTTTTCTAAATCTTCTCTAACTGAATTTCTCTTTCGCTTGACTACTTTTTTTTTCCACTCCTGCTCGTTTGGTCACTGCTATTTATATGTTCATCACTGAGACCGCTAGAACTTTTTATAGCCTCGGTACCAAGGAATTGCAAACTCGATGCAAGACTTTTACCAAGTTACGTAACCAAACTCGTCATAACTATCGCCTTTAAAATAATTGCATTTTACTCTCTTGTTATGAAAAACAACTAAACAATAATGAAATATTAAGTCACAAAATAAATAAATTAATAATACCTACGCTAAACAGTTTTGTACATCGAACATCATTAATCAGATTTATTTTTGTTCTTAATTCTTCTTTAAATATTAGTCTTGTACTTCTAATTTTTTATCTCTTTCTTCTTTTCCGTCTTTAAACTGTTTCGTTATTTCCAGGCAGAACTTCGATTTCATTTCTGGATCTGGTTGTCATGTTTTTTTTAGCAAAGTTATATTTTGTTTTCATCAAAATAATCCCACTTCTGATATAAGTGTTGTATCGTATTATTTCATTGGGTGGGTCTTTCAAACTGTTTGGTGAAAATAACTGTGTAGTTCAGTCCACGTAATGATAGTTTATTTTGTCTCTCCCTTAAGGTTTTCTACATGTTAGGGTTTGGTATTTATTTGTTTTGTGACAGACATTGCCTCTGTTGTGTAGATCTTACATCTTGAGAATTTATAGACGTAACAGGAATGTTGTAAGAAAGGCATTATTTTGATTTATTGCCATGCTTGTCATTAATTTGACATGTGGATAACTTAGCAATTGTATTTGCTTTAGAGCTTCTTTTGTGTTACTTGACATTTAAATATTCTGTTCTCTTCCTGCCTCAAGCTATTATCTGTGACTCTGTCCTAGGGTTGCTTAATTATTGTATGAAGGGTGATCCTGCATCACCACAAGGATTATTCAAAACAGGCATTTCTTCATATATCGTCCTCATTGTTTGTCCTTGTTGTTTTCCTGATATTTTATTATTCATCCAAGAATACCTATTTTCAAAATATTTTTAATCCCTCATGCAAATTTTTAGTACTTTCCCATATTTTGTTTTCTCTTTTTCTTCAGAAATTTGTTTCTCCAGATAAATTAAGGTTTTAATTGATTATTAGCTGTTTTCTTTTTGATTAACTAGCCATTCAACATATCCAGTTGACATTCTCTTTTCCAGAGTGCCATCCATCTCTACACAGGATCAGTTGTTTTTTAGTGCGAGTTTTTCTTGCATGATTTAGTTGAATCAGAAAATATTTATACTCTTGAAAAAAAAAAAAGGCTGTAAAGTCTATAATGGACAGCTCACCCAAAACTTCATTTTTGTACGTCAGCAATTCCACCCAAAAAACAGGCAATGAATTAGGATCTGGTAACAAATTTGTCTGAGTTAAAGGCGATCTCAGTTTTTAATTATATTATTTTTGTCAAGACCAGTGAATGATCAAGATGGATATATATATAATATTGCAGTTAGTATATCTTTCTATTTTGTCCACTAGGATTGTAATTTTAACTTGAGCTTGTGTTGTCCTTCTGCGTTTTTATCCAAGGATGTATTGAAAGCAAATTTTCCTGTACTTGGACTTCCACTTTTATGTGACTATCAACTGGATTATTCTTGTTATGGTGGAATTGGATTTCCAAGAAGGTTGTGTTTTGAAACTTTCCAAGCTTCATTTTATCTGTCTTGGGTTTTATATACCTAGGCCTGCTAATTTTTTTCACAAGTATCCTGTGTTATTGGAGCATCATATGATGTTCAGTTCCATGCATTGCATTTTTACTGCCCGTTCATTTCTTTCATTTATTTATTTACTTATTTATTTTGGGTGTTTCTATTCACCAAATTTCTTTCGTTCTTCTGTGATGGTTGTCGTGGGCCTTTTCAATAAGCTTTGATTGGTTAATCCAAGATGTTAGACGGCTTTGGATGTGAAGTCTTTTAAACATTGCATGTTCTGAAATCCCCTTCAGTGGCAATTGTACAGAACCAATACTAATTGCAAGGTGGTGGTTGTTTTTTGTTACAAGAACTACAAAACAATAAAAAATGATAAATATGTGTGTACAAAAGACGGTACTTTTACTGAATGTTGAGAGAGCTCTCAGAATGATTTGTTGAAAGTTGGCGAAAATCTGTACCAATTAACCAAAGAAAACATAGTATTGCATACGCAGAACTATAATGCTATTCTACTCAGATTATTACCTCTCATATATTATAGTGACAATGAATATTCACGAGGGTAGCATTAGCACTAGACACTCTGGGTAAATACTGTGTTTCTTGTAAACTACGGAACATTCGATTTCAACAATCTGGTGCATGGATTCATCAGCTTGAGCAGTTGAATATAGAAGATTCCGGAAGGGGAAAAAACAGTCCAGTGTACCATAAAGCAAGCACACACACACTGGTTGGTTTAGTTTTGTAATAAATATTTTGTATTTCACTTTGTGTTAAGTTACATTATTCCGTTTAATATCACGACTCATTTGGTAAGATAATTAGCATTATTTTCTGTATGATGGAGTTCTCATTAGAATCTTTTGAAGGGCTAGTATGATCATTCACTCTATTTTTGATTGCTTACGTTGTTTGTTTATATATGTGTTTTGTAAATTTGTGTAATACTACACAAGAGTTATCTACGCTTGAACTTCTCCTATAAAATAGTAGGACTTGCACCCACGACTGTAAAGCGTGGAGCGCGATTTTGCGGTGAACCATGACTTTTTATCCAGTTTTCATATACTGACATCAAAAGCTACCTCCCAGTCAAATTTAATGTTTGAGTTAAAAAAAAACTTTCATAGTCTCGTTTCGTCTAACAAACATCTTTCTTGTTTTTTGTTGTTTTTTTTGTTAGTTTAAATAAACTTCACCATTTCCCACTTAACTAGAAAATTTATTGTCCTTCTACGGGTCTAAGTTAAACTTTTTTCGTTTAGTAATATATCACTTTACGCTTTTCATCCACATAGAAAATGACATTTATTTGAAACTCAAGATTTTTAAAAGAAACATTTTATTTTCGGTTATTTTGCTCAAGTTACTCAAATTATCCTAATCTTCAATATGTTATTGTTATTTAGTTATTATTAATATGCATATTTCCTTGTTTGCGTCTATGCTATGCTATGTATTTATTTGTGTTAAATATGTTTGGTTATAGTCTGTACACTTTATAGTAATCGCTGCAAGTGTGTGTTGTTTTTTAATACTGCAGAACTTATTATTGATAATCTTAAAGTGAATTAAAAGTTGTTTTATGTATCTGTAAATTAATATATATTGATTATATTTTGAAATATATATTTTATTCCAATAGGCGGTAACGGGACACAAAAACTAGGTGTTGGTTAATCGTCATCTGTTCTACTATTAGTAGTAATATGACGCTGTATAGTGAGCTTTAAGTTTAATAGCAGAGTTAGCTTTTGTAAAGAGTACATGTAGTTTATCCAACATGGCAAATAGGTTTGGTCATAATCATCTCCATGCGCATGGTGGTTTTCTGAAAGAAGATTTATTAAATGAGGTAATCACTGAAGTGTTCGCTAATAGTATTACAGTAATTTTTGGTGTTCCTGCAGAAGATGGTACTAATAGTAATATTATAAAACAATTAATTAAAAGCTATGATTTGTACTATTACTACTAACGACACATTGACAGTGAGTGAGTGAGTGATGTTGATCATACCATCACAAGTTCATAACTTGACTGGCACTTAGAATTTAGATCAATTTTGGAGTTTTTGTACACTATAGAAAGTTAGTATTTAAAAAATAATACTATTATTTGTCGTTCTGTTTTTCTGACTTAAGATTAATAAGTATTTTTTTCTAATCAATTGAAAACGCTTTCATAATCATAGCCGATATTGAATGAAATTGAAAGAGAAAAACACTTAACTCTTAAAACGTGTGCACATTTCGCAATTACATAACTCATTCACTGTAACTTGTAAACAGTAATGTATAATATTAAGATTAAGAATATTAAACAATAATTTGGGCATAACGTTGTCACTATCACAGTATCAAACGGAAGTGGCAAATTCAGTTTCACTTTCAGCCCTTTACGTTGGATTTCCAAAATGATTTGTTTAAGAACTAGTAAGAAACTAAACGTTACCGAGTTAGGCCTACCACATGTATCAGGATGTCATATCATTCAATTTTCAAAATAAAACGTTATTAACCACCAGTGTCAGGCAATATTACTACTACCTGCATTCGTATTGTATTACTTATTACTGAAAATGATAATATTAATTTTGCACATTATTTGCAAAAAGTAGTTACATCATTATTACTCATCATAATTGTTTTCTGTTATTATGTCAAAAAACTTATTTTGTTTCAAATTATTGGATAATGTCGGACAGCATTACAAAGGTATAATTAATGCATATGAAAATATCCTTTACTGGACACTCAAATTGTGTTTCAGTCAGTTAAGACCTGTGACACAATATTTACAATGGTACATTAATCAGAATATGACAAACATCCATCTTAAGGCTTTAACTCATGTATTCACTGTTTTTTTCTCCTTGCACATTGTAGTGTTTTTTACATCTAAAATCTCAAAATAATTCCATTATTTCTATCCATGAAATGATATTTTTGTCATTGTTTTCAATTTTCAACTTTAAATAAAATGGTAAACCAAAACAATAAATACAATTGTTAGCATCATCATGTGATTAGCAAGAAGAAAAAAAAAAGTCTGGTAGCATTAAATAATATTAAAATTAAAAGTATAATAATATTAATTTTTTAAGAAGTAATACATTATATATTACCCTAATAGTTTCATTTTCAGTTTTATTACTGATTAAGTATATATTTTTACAGTAAATATAATTTGTTTTTAGAACAGGTACGAAGTTTGCATCAGTGGTGTGATCATTCTTGTGTACTTGAGAATGAATGCACCAGTGATTGAAACATCATACATATTCTAAAAATAAGGCTTACTTACTGTAAAAGCTGTGACGTAGAATAAAATTATATTACCCTGTTATTTATAAAATATATTATTATAACTTGTTGCTTTTGTTGACACAACCTCAACACTATTAACTAATACAGTGTCTTTCTGAAGTCTGGTGCTGCATTTTTTCTTTTATTCTGCAGATTGTTAAAAATTCTACATTTTTCTAAATTTCACAGAGTTTTATGATTGTATATTATTCCTAAGATAATTTTCTGTAATTAGTAACAATATTATTAACTTATGAAAGAAGTATTGAAAATTAAAGAGAAGACTGAATGTGTCAAAATAATTGCAGACTTGTCTTTTATCCAGAATCTGTGTAACTTAATTTGCATGAAATTTTAAAGTATTTGTACATAAAATAAGAATCTAACATATCTTTGTGAACTCTGAATTAGCTTGCATGAATAGTGGGCAAGTCGTTCTGCCTTAACATTGGCTCTTGCTATTTCCAACTAGTAGTAATACAGTAGTAACTAATATATAGTTAATAATAATTTTGTAGGCTTATTAGTGTTATACTATTTGTGGGAACATTTTTTTAGTCTTATAAAAGATGCTTTGCAAATTCATATAACAAGTCATAAACATTTCTTGGGTAGTCAACTTTGTTTCAGTAAGGGAAAATCTCGCTTTAATTATCACTGACATTCTTGAAATGGTTACAGTTAACATAGATGAGGGTAATAGTGTGTAAATGGATTTTCAGAAAACATTTGAAAAGGCGTGATACAAAAGGCTTGTTAAAAATGATCTCTGTACATGTGGGGGAGAAATTGGCTCATTGGAAGGAAAAATGGCTGGATGAAAGAAAGCAGAGGGTTGTTATAACTGGAGTTCTGTCAAACTGGATTAATGTCACAAGTGGGTACCTGAGAGCTCAATGTTAGAACCTTTTCTCATTTTGGTTTACACCAGTAAGGACAATGAAATAGTTGAAGGAATAAGCAGTGAATTGCTTAAATTTGCTGATAATATTAATATTTTGGGTGTTCTGTATTATGAGCATGCTGCTACTTTACAAAAGGATTGATTATTTTATGGAGGAAGTAAAGAATCTTGGTGTTTTGGTTAATCAGTCTTTTAGTCTATGCCATTGCTAGTGGTAGGGTAAATAGGACTTTAGGTTGTATTTATACAATTACTAACATATATCCTATCAAAAATGATGGGGTAAGTACCCCACCCCATAGTATACCCTAACCTCACATTTCACAGCTAACTGAAATAAATAAACTTTGCAAAATCAAGCTTGACCAACAAAGAGGCAGAAAAGTGCAGTCTAGGCAGTCAGACATCAGTAAATTCCTTTGTGAGCCAATCAAAATTAAGATCATTCAGGAAATGAATTTGTGGCATATTCCTAGAATAATTATGGGTTAAAATCAGTTATGTTAACAACTTCTAATATATAGCAAAGCCAGTGCATTTTGGTAACATTGTGTTTCAACAATGTCGTTTATGTGATATTGCTTAGCAACAAAAGTATAACCTAATATTGTTGTTAGTCTACATACTGAAAGTATAAAAAGAAATGTATAGACAACAAAACTGGAAAAATATTATTTGATTGCTTAATTTTGTCTCTGTTGATTAAAGAGGTTTGTTATTTATTTAAAATGTTTGTGATATAATAGAAAATAGCTTAATTCAGAAAGGATTTAAGTTTAAATTGAATCAATATTTTTACTTTCATGATAAATTTTATGCAGTTGGCTCTAGGCTATGTGATCCCACACTGCATCTTTACTTTAGGCTTATTATACCAACACTCACTACATTTATAAGGTTTCAAGGCACCCTCCTCCCTTCATGGCTCATTTGCACCCCCTGTCACTAAAATCGTAATGGGCAGACAGTAATCAAACTATTCTATCTGGATAAATTCATCTTGGCTTTTATGACTTCTCCTATTTCAAGATATCAAACTGGATGTGATACACACAATGGCTTTTATATAGGTTAGATTAAATATATGTCTGAAGAGGTTGTACTTTCATTGTATAGGTCAATGGTTATGCATTATTTGGAGTATTTCTCTTAGTCTTAGGCTCATTACCTTAAGACATTAAATTGTTGGAAAGGTTCAAAGGAAGGCTATTAGGATGATACCTGGGATGGATGGAAAGGTTGTCATACAAGGACAAGTTAAGATCTCTGAAATTGTTTTCTTGCAAAAAAAGAAGAGTTAGTGAGGATAGTGTTGATGCATTATCTTTTTTCGTACTTAATGGTGAGAACAGTAGGACTAGGGATGCATATAAATTTTAACAGTGTAAGAGTGATCTTCAGCTAAGACATTTATTTTTCTAATAAGGATGGTTGACTTTGGAATGGGTTGCATTCATGTGTGGTGGATGCAGTAAATTTAAGGGAATTTAGGAAAAATGTTGATAGATATTGAAATTATATTAAAAGGCTAGTTTTGGGGGTATTTTTTATTTATTATTATTATTTTTTCAATTTTAGATTAGTGGATGGGACAGCTTTGATGAATCAAGAACTCCCTATTGACCTTAAATATCATGATATAATGTATTATCATAAGGATTCCCATAACTTGTACTAATACACTAACCTGCTTGTAGTCACAGATAATAAGGTTAACTACATTACATGTTGAACTGTTATATATGATATGAATGGCTAGAGTACTATATGAGTGCCCTCCTGTCTCTTGTTATGACAGTTATAAGTAAAAATATAAAAATTGTGTAATATCTAATAACTTATTTTAATAAATAAGACTGATCAAGTTGAGAATTTCTTCCTATATTTAAAAACGATAATAGTGGGAGAATAAAGAAAATACTAAAGCTGAACAATTTCATTAAATGTTGGGAGTATTTTCTTAACATTTTGTTTTTGGAAAAGCTTGTATAAATTACTGAAAGTTTAAAAATCTGTTGGTACTCATAAAATTTACTTTAAAACCAAAAAGTTTTAAACTTAGTAAGGAGATGGTGAGGTTTTAATTACTGTCTATCAAAATGGAAAATTTGTGATTGTTAGAAAATCTGAAGTGATCCTGTGAAACTACAATAGGTACTTAAGTTTATTGAAAGTGATAGTTTAAAAAGGTATTTTGGAAATTGGCATTTATTAAATTACATTGAGCATGGTTTTGAAAAAAATTATTTTATGCATATCGAATTGGTGGAAAAATGGGGAAGTATGTTGACAATTGGATTGGTAATAGAGGGTAAATAAAGGTAATGGGCATTTTATGATTGGAATTATGTGATAGTGGGATCCTTTAAAGTTTTTGTGAGACCATCATTTAAGTCATGGATTTGGATCAATTATTGAAGAATGAAATATATCTAAGTTTGTTGATTATACTAAGCTTCTGAGGAAGGCTGATATAATGATATTTTTCATGCTCAAAAGAAATGAATAGCTAAGTGGCTTCAGATTTTAAAGAGAGGAAAAATCATCCTACCACAGGAACTTATGATGTTAAAATAATTTCTTATTGTTTATATTTTATGTTTCCTGTAAGGGCATTAGATAATTCACCCATGTAAAGTGACG